AAAGGCACAATCAGAATCTCTCCTCTTTCCGGTCAGATTCAAGGTTAGGGTTTTCATTCTCATCGACGAAAGCTTCCATCTTTGAGATTTGCGTTATGTTGGGGTCTCTTCTTTTTTCCTCATTGTCTCGGTTTTGTTTAGTTCTGTAAGGAAAAAGGGCAAAGCTTATTCTGATTGATATACATATTTTGTTGTCTTGTAGAGTTTGAGAGGAAGAAGCTTGGATTGGTCATTCTTTGTAGCGTGTAGGATTTGTATTGGAGACCTGAATATTTGATCAGATTGGAAGTGTTTTAATTTGTCGACTTATCCCTGTTTTGAGGTGTTTCAGAAGAGGGAAATGGCAGGATGTGCAATGAATTTTCAGTTTTCGAGTGTTGTGAAATTTCGAAAGGAGATGTCTTCGTTAAGGATATGCAATCGAGGCTTTGTTTTTGGAGATTTGGTGAAGGATATGAAAGTTCCTGTTTTGCGGATTGGGGGTGTTTCTGTTAGGCAAAGTTCAAGGCTTTTGATGGTTAATATGTCTCAGTCTCCTGTTGAGCCGCAATCCGGTGTTGCGGCTACTGCGCAAACGAAAGGAGATGGTGATAGTATCTTAGGGAATGATAGTGTTAGAAACTTGGGAACTGATCAACCTTCGAAATTTGAAAGTGATGGTAATGTTGGGGATGGTTTTAATGGTGGTGACGGTAACGGTGGGTTTAATAACGGTGGAGGAGATGGAAATGGAGGGGAAGGTGATGGCGAAGACTACGAAGAAAAAGAGTTTGGTCCCATATTGAACTTTGAAGAGGTAATGAGGGAGACAGAAGCTCGAGGAGCCACGCTTCCTTCTGATATGTTAGAGGCTGCTAAGACTTTTGGAATCCGCAAATTGCTTCTCCTTAGGTACTTGGATTTGCAGGTATGTTCTTTCTTTGTTTTCTTTTTGGAATTGATAGTGTCAAAGAAGAGTTTTGAGTTTCGATTTCTTGGATTTAGAGCTCAGCTGGGCTGCTTGGGTTTGCGATAAGATCATGGTCGATGCTTCGTAACAGAATGTTGGCTGATCCATCTTTTCTCTTCAAAATAGGGACTGAGGTTAGGGAACTTTCACTTAAAAGTTCAAATATATATATATATCAAAGAGCTTCATTTTCGAAACTCTTATACAACAAAGGGTGACTTGGTCTCCTTCCTGCCAATTTGTCATTTAGCAAACGGTTTGATATGGCAATTTCAGATAGTCATTGATTCTTGTTGTGCCACTGTTGCGGAAGTTCAAAAGAGAGGGAAGGATTTCTGGGCGGAGTTTGAGTTGTATGTTGCTGATATGTTGGTTGGAGTTGTGGTTAACGTTGCTCTGGTCGGTATGTTGGCGCCTTATGTCCGTTTTGGTCAACCATCCGCATCGAGTGGCTACGTAGGACGCATGCTTAATGCTTATAATGCGCTTCCTAGCAGGTAAAATTTCTTCCATTCAAGAAGATACTTTATAGAATTTACATCTCTAACACGGTTAATAAAGTCTGCGATGTTGAACTGGTGCAGTGTGTTTGAAGCTGAAAGACCAGGATGTAGATTTTCTGCTCAGCAGAGACTTGCAACATACTTCTACAAGGTAATTAAAACTTCACGGTCTCCGTCTTAATCACTCCATACTTTTTGCTGTTGCTGATCAAATATTTGTGTTCAGGGTTTAATGTATGGTGCAGTTGGGTTTGGATGTGGCATCGTAGGTCAAGGCATTGCTAATCTGATCATGACTGCCAAACGGTAACACACCTCTTCCCGCTAGACTTTGAAAATGGTCACTTAGCTTTTGGATTTGGCTTACGTTTCTTTTGTTTTTGGCCATTCTCGTCTCTCTCAGAAGCATAAATAAATCAGAAGAGGACATCCCGGTACCACCGCTCATCAAGAGTGCAGCTCTCTGGGGTACACTGGCTTTTATACCTTATTTATTTTCACTTTCTCAAATCATTGATTTTTATAACAATGGTAATTTAATTGCAGGTGTATTCCTGAGTGTTTCGTCAAATACTCGTTATCAGATCATCAATGGTCTAGAGAGAGTGGTCGAAGCATCTCCTTTCGCCAAAAAAGTGCCTCCAGCGGCTTTGGCCTTTACCGTGGGTGTACGGTTTGCCAACAACATCTACGGTGGAATGCAGTTTGTCGATTGGGCAAGATTGAGCGGTTGTCAGTAAAAACACCCAAACACTTATATGTATCTTTATATTTTGTTGTAGCACACTCGGTTTAATTTTGATCTGTTTACTACATTTCTGTTGTTATATCCACTATTACAGAACTCGCTAGGCGCTAGTTGAGCGGTATTGCTGTGCTTAGCCTCTATTCGGAAATCAAGTAGTTGATCAGAAACAGAGAAGATGAGCAGTGAGATGTTTTTTAGAGAGAGCAAAATACTGAAAAGTGGTGACTTTTTTCATTTAT